TGCCTTTTTGTTCCATTTGAAATCAACTGTATTTATAGCAGTGATAGCTCGGTAAAATGGTATGCCTGTTCCGTGCACTAGAAGACAAATTTTTGATTCCAACGCCACATGGGACGTTAATTTTTTTTAATTAGAAAAAAAAACAGCAATTCTAAGGTCAGTTTCATTTTATGAACTGATTTATTAAAATTTTGAATTAGATAAATTCAGAATGAAATCAAATCCAATCTTCTATTCTTCTTAAACACTTATCATTTAATATTACTTTAATCTGATGAGTGTTTTTTGTGAAGAAATACTATGTCATTGTACCTCCTAAGGACCGGAAGTCTCTGTCGATACTGAAGCTGTACTGATTTGTAATTATAACAAAGGGACCTGAAAATCTACAATAGCAATAAATAGTATAATGATTATCTAGCCTGATTAATTTGTGGCAAGATTACAATAAGACCAGAACAGTAGGTGTAGCTTTTACTAAAATTTTACCTATTTTTCAAATTCAGTTTCCACTGTAGGATCAGTCTCCAAACAAAGAATTGAAGCCAAATATGTATCTCAATATAGTCTACTTGCAACATGATGGTGTTATCGGACTAAATCTGTATTTGGAATTGAACTTCTAAAGTATTTCACACAAATTTCTATTTTTAGTAGCGACGATAACATCATACATCGAAATCAAAAACCGATACACTGAATTTTGTATCTTGATGTTATTTACTTGTGTGCCTAGTTATATTGAAATCAGACCAAAACTGTATGAGGAGTAACATTTAAAAAAAAATGTTTACAGACCGACAGACGCACATAAGCTCTTTAGTCTCTTACCAGTAGAGCTAAAAACCGTCACACATGTTATAATCATGGTATTTTAAACTTAATAAAAAAAAATCAAATGATTGTTCGTAAAATCTGACCAGCTATGGTCACGCAAGTAAATCATAGATATTTTAACAAAATGTTTAGTATAAATGATTCCTACGGATCACACGCAAAATACGCCCATCTTCTTTTCAAATGAACAATTTTGTAGTGGATTAGATGATGATACATCTAAATTACTATCGTTGAGAATATTTGAAAGGTTTCATTCTCACTCTTAAGGATACCTTGGATATCGTGCAGGTATAAAGTTAATTTAATTCATGTGACCTCAGAGTACGTCGAAAGCTAGAACTAATACCAAGAAATATATTGCTATTATCTTTTCGCCAGATTAAAAGGTTTTCTTGAAATTAAAGGTGAGACAATATAACTTTTAAATTTCAAAGTTAAATTATAAAATGTCGTAAAGTTTTACTATGCTTATTCTTATATTAAGAATAATATTTCAGATTCTTTTTTATAATTTGCTGATGGATTGACACGACAAAAGATTGTCTGAATCATGTTTCCTTTCCTTTAAATTGAATTTAGCAAATTATAATTTCCGCCATTGTAATTGTTGATAATGAAATTGCAGCTTCTCCATCATCATGTGACGGACACCTATAATGGACCCGCGTTACAGTGGCCAAGACATCCTCCTCTGTGACCTGTGTCAAACAGCTGCATTACAGAGTCACTGTAAACATTGTCAGATTAACCTGTGTAATGCATGTGTCGGGTTGCATCTCTCTGATTCATCTAAAAGACACAATGTTGTGCCGTACATACACAAAACCTTTGTTCCTAACTGCCTCAAATGTCCAAACCACATACAGACACCTTGTGAACTTTGCTGTGAGAAATGTGACATTCCTGTTTGTTCTACCTGCATCTCCTCTGGAAAACATAACGGCCACGGTTTTTCGAGAGCTCTGCAAATTCTTAGTTTTAAAACAAAAGAAATGGAAAAAGACTTGAAAGATCTTGAAGAAAAAAATTATCCAACATATGAAAAAAAATCATTAGACTTACACTCTGAAAAAGTAAATGTGGTAAAACATTATGAGAAACTGACAACAGCTGTCACTAAACAAGGAGAAGACCTGCACAGAGAAATTAACATCTTTGTTGACAAACAGAAATTCGAAATTATTGAGATGAAACCAATACCCTGGCTGTTCTTAATAAACAGGAAGATGAAATCAAACAGATTATTTCTGATGTAAAACAGTGCATAGTTGATCTGAAGAAAATACTGGACTCCAATGATGTCTCCTTAACTTCTGTGTACAAATCCAGGAATGCTGAATTCAAAAGTTTACCTCCTTAAGTTAATATTTCATTGCCAAGTTTCTCTCCTCATCATATCAATAGAGAAAAACTCCATCAAATGTTTGGTTCTCTGTCAGCATTATCCAATACAATAGAAGAACATGACTACACAATGAGGACACCAGAAACTGTATCCAGTCCTCCAGTCAAACCACTGCTTGATGAACCAGAGCTCATCACCACCACAGACACTGGACTACTTTACAGTGTTACCTGTCTTAGTGATGAAGAAATTTGGACACGTGGAGATGATACTATTATGAATCTTTACAACCTTCAGGGTAAACTTCTGAAGTCAATCCAAACCAAGTCTGGGAACAAACCACATGACATAGCGGTGAACAGGGGTGGAAACCTAGTTTATACTGATTCTAAAAGAGGAACTGTGAATATAGTGAAGAATAAAAAGATACAGGAAGTACTCCGACTTAAGGGATGGAAACCTATGTATGTCTGTAGTACCTCCTCTGGTGACCTACTTGTTACCATGAACAGTGACGATGATAAACAATCAAAAGTTGTCCGTTACTCTGGCTCCACAGAGAAACAAACCATTCAGTTTGATAGTGAAGGTAAACCTCTGTATTCATCTGGTTCATACGGTAAATACATCAGCGAGAATAGGAACCTGGATATCTGTGTGGCTGACCATATTGCCAGTGCAGTAGTGGTTGTTAATCAGGCGGGAAAATTCCGATTTAGATACACTGGTCATACCTCGACTACCAAAGGATCATTTAATCCAGTCGGCATCACAACAGACAGCCAGAGTCAGATCCTTACAGCAGACTGTAACAACCACTGTATCCACATCCTAGATCAGGACGGACAGTTCCTCCGTTACATTGATAACTGTGATTTAAGATTCCCATGGGGTTTATGTGTAGACACCAGAGACAACCTGTTTATCACTGAGTATTTGTATGACAGTGGTAAAGTAAGGAAAATCAAATACATGTAAACATTGTGTACTCCCAAAAGAAAAGTTATTACCAATTTATACTTTTCTGTAACTTTTTTACCCCGAAACAATTCACATCATATTTATAAATTTTCTATACCTTTGAGCGATCCAGCCTTTTTCAGTTGTAAATTAGAGTTAAACATAGCTGTACTTTGTCATGTAAGTGTATATTTTTTGTACCTATGGAAAGTAGCCTTTCAAGATACAAATACATGTATAATGCATCTTTATAGGACTTTGCAACTTTTTTCTGTTTAGCTTTTTTATACTTAACTTGGACTTACTGAAATTTCAAAAGCTCAGACTAATTTAGTTCATTGAGATTAAATGTTTTAGTTCATCGAAATATCTAAATATAATTTAATATTTTGGTCTAAATACAAACGTTTTTAAAGGTCTAAACTTGATCTATCTTTTAATTGGCTAAAAATTTTGTTTACAAACATGAAGTATCATTTTTTTTTACTTTTGTAAGTTATTTTTACATTGATCTCAGGTTGTCATAATTAAATTTTTTCAAGCCACAGTTTTAAGCCATTACTTAAAATTTCACATATTCTATTTTCTCCAATTTGTTTTTAATTGTTTTTATCGAAATAAATGTTTTATTTTAAAAAAACAAATTCTAGATATTCACAGTAAAGCAATGTATCAAAGTCTTTTATCTAAAGTTATTAAAGTAAACTAAAGCTAACTATTTCGACATTTTTTTATACAAGGCTGTGGAAGAAATTTATGATAAAAATAAGACATGATTACGCGATTGATATATTAGGAGTTAAGGCTTAAAACAATGTTGACTTTTTTATAAGCTTCTTCAATATTAATGCACATGTATAACTGAATTATAAAAAACAAATAGTTCGTTTCAGATCATAGTCCACAAATATTAGCTAAAAGACGAAGAAAAATATGTACTGTAAGTAAATAAATTCATAAATCAAATTTGACATTTTTTTTTCAACTTCTGTCAACTTACTCTGTCACAAACTATTTCCTAATTTATTTAAGTGCCCTTGTAACAGATACAATGAAAAATGTCTAATCCGATACCTGAATAATCCAGCACATTGTGAATTCGACGTTGACAATCTTTCCCATTTTAGTATTTTCCTTGTTTTCAACACTGTGAAATCCGACACCCTTTTTATTCCGACACAAGATTTGTCTCCCAGTGCATGTCAGATTAGACAGGTTTCACTGTATAACAAAGCAAATTATTCACGGATATTAATTTCCTACAAAACCTGGGTATTTAAATCACACAACGTGGAGGCAGGTCTAATTAAAAATTAAAATCAAAAGTACAATGCACATAAACATACAATCAAAAATAGACAGAGAGGTTATCTTTATTCTAATGGTGAGACTATGGAACTTTTAAAGACTAAATAATTTTGCTGACATTTCTCTGCACAGTGTGTATATAATGGCCAGTAATAAGAATGAAAAAGTATTCAGTATTTGACATAATGATATGTTCACAGCGACACGCTATCAGCAATTGCGTGTAAGAAATTGTCAAAAGATGTTACAGAAGTATGCATTTATGTTGTTTGTGTAATTTCATCAGAGGGTATGAAAAAGTATGTAAAAGATGAAGTACCCGTTGACATTTTGAAAATTACCTTGCGCTCTTTAGTTTTTCATATACAAACTTTGGAAGAATGTAAACGAAAAACCATAGATCTATGTATGTTTTATAGTTACTTTTTTTTAAAAATAGCATCATTACAAGTTGTAAATATGTACAGGATCTTTTTTTCTTCTTTATGGTATATAACCCTTGGAGTAAATATGAGTAGAAAGAATGAAAAAAAAACTGTTAGGCACTTGCAGATTTAATTTTATTCAATCAATACTACTGAGAACAACAGCAAAAGTTTGGACCGCAGTGAGTAGCAGAACAACTAAAACTTCCGTACCTCCAGGTGTTGACCCATTTGGCATTGGGAGTATTCTTAAGGCCTCGTTTGGAGTAAATATGCAAGGCATCAATGCATTGAGGTTTTCTGTGCAAATGATTTGTGAACATTAACAATTTACATATACCTAAAATAAATGCAATATGGTAATATTTATGCCTTACAAGAAAACCCCACATATTAAAATTTTATGAAGAAAAACTGTTGTTATTTTGTATAGAAGCCAGTGCTTATTCAGATTATTAGGAGAATACAACCCAAAACCTTACTTGATTAATTCAACTGCAAAATACTTTTCACAACTCTACCTACACGCACCTGTCCCTCAAACTTCAAATAAAAAATATGTTCATTTCATTTATTTTCAACTGTTCTTACTTGTTAAAGGCATCCCAGTCCTCATTCATATCAGTGACTGACTGACAGATTGCATTACATGACTCTCCACCGACACACTTGCGAGGAATGGCCGCGATGTAAGACCTTTGTGGACCCAAAGCGATACAAGCCGCTGTCGCTATTTCATGATCGGTATCTTGGTCGTAATGATGAGGATAATATCCACTAATTAGCACGATATGTGTCTCAAAGGCTGAAATTCAATTTTGTTTAATTCATAAAGAGCACATTACAACAAACATCCCTGAATTTCATAGTTTTATGCATTTTTAATTTTACATATTTTTACCTTGCTTTCTTTTTGCAGTGTTACATGGAAACGTTACAATATCTTACTTCCTTTAGAGATTTATAAGAAAACACTGAATAGTAAAAGAAAAACGTAAAAGAAAAGCGAGAAAGGGCTTACTCACCCAATGTAAAAATCAGACAACTCAAAGACAGTGCCATTGTGTATCAATTTTTCAGCTTGTTTTGCAAGCAGTTGAGCTTACCAAAAGAGCAATTTGCCTTCCCAACCTATTTTTCTCTTATTTTTACAATTGATACATTGATAAGTATAACCTTTCAAAACTTTATGAATTATGGAAGAGTTTAAACTAAATCGATTTCAACGTCTCTACCCTTTTTACATCTTTGAAATTAGAGATTTTTTTTGTAACTATGAATCATCGGTCCATCCTTTTAATTTTATCCATAATGTTTTTAGCACGCAGGCAGCCATGATATTTGACAATAACAATAGAAAAACTACCTCATTAACTTACCCTATTATTTGCAAAAGTAACATAATTAAAAAAAAAATACTTGGGTAATTTTGATTATTTTAGGTCGTTGATTTGATATCGAAATAAAAATGTCTGCCATAACGAGCTTCAGCGAAAATGCCGCAACATACCTCAAGATAAGCTTTTTCTCTGGCTTAGTTACAATTGCATCGAGTTTTCCCACTCAAAAATGATTTAATTTTTACAAAGCATCTCTCAAGAGGCAAAGAGTACCTTGTTTTAGAAATAGTTTATAGGTAGAACATAATCTAATCAACTGAAATATTGACGATTTAAAAGTTAAAGTCATAAAGTTTATTAAAAGCTCTGCAATCAGATAACAACGAGTTTTTTTTTTTAATCTGAGATCCAAATATGAACCAGATGTTTCTGACTCTGTGGTATATTTTATTTCAATAGAACTGAGAGATATTGTGTCGACATAAGAATGGAATTAATTATTTTTTTATTGACAATACGTCTTCAATACATCTAGAGTCAAAGGCCATATAATCAATTTCTTAAACAAGGTACGTTATCAACGAGACAATATCAACAGTTTCGTTTAAAAAGGCATTATTTCGTAAATTCTATGCTGGATACAATGATCTCGTCGGGAAATAAAATGTATCATTAAGTAAAATGATGACTAAACTTTTTCATACTGTTGTTGGGCAATTATTTACACAGAGATGTACATATATATTTCCATTTTTCCTGATTTTTACAAGGTGCACATAGCTGGTGTGACAGGTAGGCAGGGGCTGCTCACTCCTCCATGGGACCTGATCCCATTCCTGATGGTTTGGAGGTGCATGTTTGCGTTGATAGTAAAATCAAAGGTTAGATATTTGCTCATTTAATTTACTCTGCGTATATTTGGCTATTTCCCGAGCATTAATTATTCCTGTTTAGTTTTAATGTTGAAACATAGGCATATTTCATTAAAAGCAAATATTAACCTCTTTAGAATGGAGAAAAACAAAGAAAACAAAAAAGCATTCTTTCTTCTTAAATATATTATGTGTCCCTTCATTTCGAAATCATCTCTTTACTTTAAAACTCTACACTAATACAACCTGTTCACACAATCTTCTTTTTACGCGCATGTAATTACCTACTTTAGTTTAAAATATATTTCATTCATATATAGAAATGGATTGAACAGCAGGCATAAATGCCTATTATCGTTCTCTCCATATGATCGTTATCTACTTTCAATGCAAAAAAGAGATAACAGCTAAAATTGTATTCTTTTTTTCTTTTTTACATAATTTTTTTGTATTTTATAATTTTTTATGTTCAAATTTCAAAACGTCTTTAAAATGGTGACGATCGATGTTTATTCAGCAGAGCCAATAGAATTTATATTATCTTCGTAATGCAGTTTAGATAGGGAAGCAGCTAGAATGATTTACATTGAGTTTTATGTTTTTCGATCTTTAACACTTTATAGCTTTATTTTTTATTGAAATGAAGTCAATTTACCTTTTTTTCGCATTTTTTTGCATACTTTTTCCTATGAAAACAAATGTCGATATAAACGGTTACGGGCGAGGCCCATTAGAAGCTTGTTTTGGAAAAAAAATGTAAAATTATAACATTATAAAAAGACTTCAAAGTGCTTGGCTTAATCTATCCATAATTTGTTTTGCTCTTCAATGCATCAACTTTTGTCTACATGGGAGCAGTTGCTACGGAAGTCATTAACCGGTGTGTTTTTGAATATTCAATGATACAACAAACATTATAAATATGTCCTACAATTACTGTAAAGCACATATATTGTCACTTGAGATTATTCAATGTATGCCTTTAAGAAATTGGAAAATGACATAACAAGTGTCAAATATGAATAAAAAAAAAAACTTCGACAGGCAATATACTAGAAGGATATGGTTTTGAATAAACATCAATCAATTAGATAAATCAAGAACTGACAGAGATAATAAAAGGCAGAAGAAATCTTGTAATTGAAAATCAAATATATCAGGTATCTCATTTAAAGTCGTGCTGGTAGATCTACATCAAAAGACTTTTGGCCAACCGTTTTCATAGAATTAAAAAGAAAAAAAAAATATTATCCCTACTTGGTCAGAAAAGACACTTCAATAGATAAAGTAGTGCAATTCTGTACGTTTCCGCATGGAAAAGATCCTTCAATGCTCTATAACCCTGAGTGCCGTGCATAAGTCAACTATTTCTAATGCTTTGATATTTTTAATGTTTATCACATTAATGCAGTTTAAAATTGCATTTGTTTTCATTTACTGGTATTATGAGGAAAATTATTGTTATGTGATGTCAAAAGTAAGTATGTCCGATATAAATTAGGCCCCGATCCCTTTATGCAGCTTTAACAATGCAACGTTTAGATACCGAACATACACTTCACTTAATATTTGCCGGTACATGTACCTGAATGTCATTTAAATAAACCTTTAATATTTAATCAATAGATAGATAAATGCGATAATATATTATGATATTCAATGAAACTGAATGATAACCTAAAGTCGCATGAATGCGAAAAGATAGTAAACTGACTTAATTTCAACGATAATAAATGCATATCAAAGATAAATGGTGTTTTATATACTTTTTGAAATATAAACTGAATTTTTCTTTCAAAAATGAAAAAAGTAATTGAATGCATCTCTAAATTAAAACAACTGCGTAAAAAAGTATTCTGAATATTTAAATATTGTTCGAAAATTATTATCAAAAGGTCAACAAAGTAAAATAAATAGCTTGATATCCTTTCCCAAAGGTCATTGAAAGGGTAATCATATCTGAATTTTGATTTTCTACATTAGAGTTATCACCTTTATCAAAACTCAATATGCATTTAGCACTGAATCAGAGTCAGGTAAATACATATAAATCGCGTGATCTTAAATCTGGTACGATTAGAATCAAGATGATTAAACTGTAGATACATATACACCAGTAGGAGAGGCTATCTTCGATTAACAGGTAATTTGTTTTTCAGAAACTTGATGCTGATGGCTTGGATGTTAATTTCAGTCATTTTTAAAATTACATGTAGGACAATTGTAATATTCTTATTATCTTAATTCTTGTTTCATCTAAAAAAAATGTGATAAAATATTAATAATAATTGCTTATATCAGCTGCGCCGAAGCGATAAATCTGAAATATATAAAAATTATAAATGACCTTCACGTGATCAACAAAGTCATATGTTATCATGATAAATATGCTTATAAATAGCTGAAAGAACTCTCTTTAAATATTGGCTGTACCAAAGTACATAACTTACAATTCAAATTTTAAAAAAACGTGCAATGCAGCATACAGTTTGAACGCATTTAAAGCTTTGGAAAGTCTTAACATTGCTGCTTAATACATTTGAGATGGGATCAGAAGCCATGGAGCAAGGATCCCCTAGCTACTGACCAGTCACAACCACCGTATGCAGAATCCCCGTCATTTTAAAACATTTCAATGATGAATTCCTTATATAGGGCCCAAGATGTCCTCCTATGCGACCTGTGTAAAACAGCTGCACTTCAGAGTCATTGTGAAGTTTGTTACATTAACTTGTGTAAGGATTGTGTTGGAAAGCATCTTTCAGATTCATCCAAAAGACACAATATCGTACAATACACGCAAAACTTTAATACAAAGTCGAAAGATTTAGCGAAAGATTTGGAAGAACTAGAAAAAAGCATCTATCCTGCATATGAAAAAAATTCAAAAGATTTAAACTCAGAGAAATTAGACGTGGAAAATTATTATGAGAAACTGACGAGAGACATCATCAAGGAAGGCGAAGATTGGCAGAGAAACAATAACATCATTGTCAATAAACATTTGAAATGAAGACTAAACATATGGCTGCTTTAATCAAACAGGAAAAAGAAGTTCTTAAAGTTAAATCCGACTTAAAGCAGGCTATCCTTGATCTCAGAAAAATACTAAAATCTGATGATACTACCATTATCTCTACGTACCATTCCCAGAATGCTGAATTCAGAAGTTTGCCTCCAAAAATCAACGTTTCATTACCTAGCTTTACTTCTCACTAGATCAGCACAGAACACATGGACAGTTTCTCCATTACATTGATAGTTATGATCTTCATCATCCAAGTGGGATCTGTGTCAACACTAAAAACGTTCTCTTTGAGGCGAAATGTCATAGTGGAAAAGTGAAGAGAATAAAATACATGTAGGACATCCAATAGCTGTGTACTAATTGTATTTCTGGCCGTTTATGTACATGTACTAAGTGCAATCGAACAACTCATATTATGAATGAATTGAAGAGTTTATACGATTTAAGGTTCATAAACCCTCTGCTCACTCATATGAAATTTTTCTTTAACATTTATGATTTTCCAAAGGAAATGAACAAGCTGAATGAAATACAAACAATTATAGCATGGCTTGCGGGGCAAAATTTGACAATTAAGTCACTTAAACTTGGCAAATTTATAAAGGAGTAATGGACATTTGTGTCATTAAAAGTTATTTCTCTTATCAGAGTATCAATGTACCTTAACTGGAAAAGAGGGTGTCGAAATTATTTTTTTTAAAGAAATTGCTTGTTTTCTTTAACTGCAATACATTTACACTGTATGCATAATTTTCAGTAAAAGAATTGGTAGTACAAAATGTTGTTTATTTAATTTGTTGTAGATGCCCTGTGTTTTCATCTAAATGTAGCCAAATAATGGGGTAATTGTGTAAAAAAAAAAAAACAAAGTTAAAAAAATACCAAAGAACCAAACAAAACACATAGAAATTTTTAGTTGATTCTATATTTTAATGCACATCTACAAACGTCAGAGAGTTATATATCCTACTCCATGAAATGATTAATCATTATAAGATATATAATTTAGCTAATATTTAAAAAAAAATTCTTTTATTTTTATGTGTGCTATCTATTACTCAAGTACATGTGAATTACATAAACATTGAAGTATGAAATTAACTACACACGATCCCTAATTAATTGTTGTTTTACAATTATACATTTGAAAGTATTTTTACTCATATAGAGATGTAAGTTGAAGAGTATGTTCCTTATTACATTAACCCGGTTCTCGGGTCATTAAGTAATGATGATTCTATTGTGCAAATAACCTCTGGAACACGGGGCTTTCGTTTTTATACGGCCTCATTTGATTGATTGGTTGTATACTGTTTAACGCCCTTCTCCAGAATATTTCACTGATATGAAGACGTCACCATCGCCGGTGAAGGGCTTTAAATTTAGGCCTATGCTCGGCACTGACGGCCTTTGAGCAGGGAGGAATCTTTATCGTGCCACACCTGCTGTGACACGGGGCCTCGGGTTTATACGGTTTCATCCGTCCCCATTTAGTCGCCGTTTACGACAAGCAAGGGGGTACTGACGACCTATTCTAACCCGGATCCCCACAGGATCGGCCTCATTTGAAGTTTTAACCAAAACACGGCCAGCAGTGGGGTTCGGCCTAATGTCATAAGGGTCATCTCCTGACAAATATGGAGATAAAGAATATTCAAGTCATGAGAGGAACAAATACAGACATTCGAAAACAAGCAAGGATCAGCTACAATAAATAAGTATAAGCATTCCCCTATTGACTGATTCTCACACCTGGCTTGTGCTCCTAGTAATGGTTAAAAGTACCAAATAATCTTCAGTAATTTCAGTGTCTAAGTAATAGTCAAATAATTACTATGAAAAAGTCGGCATTTGACTCAATGATATGTTCACAGAGACACGATCTTAGCGATTGCATGTAATGAGTTGTCAAAAAAAAAATACATTTATGTTTTGTGTGTGTGTGTGTGTAATTCATCAGAGTGTATGAAAAGTATGTAAAGAGATGGATGACCTCTCTATAGACCTTTAAAATACGATTTGGTTGTTACTCCAACATTTTATAAGTTAATCATGTTACAAAACACGAGCAATTTCAAACGTTTTTTTTTCACATGTGGTCATAAAATAGTCCAGAACATGAAACCATTCCAATATAAGATGTAAATCTTATAAACTGTACCACTTTTGATGCACCAGATACGCATTTCGACAAATTATGCATCTTCAGTGATACTCGGATTTGTCGAAATGTCTCATTTAAAAAGTAAGTTTTTAAGAAATCTTGGTGATAGAGTCACGAGGATGGTGTTGATCTCATGATTAGTATTCCCTTATGAATTATGTTGGCCTTCTGAGTGGACAGAGTAGTGCAATTTTAGTTGATAACCCCCGCAATGTACAATTTGATGTAATAAATATTTGTATAATGAAAGATGTTAAAATTACGTTCGAATTCATACTTTTATTCCAAATTAATTTTATTGAAAATTGAAAAATTGATGAACACTTAGATAAATAATATCTTGCGCTTTTCCAGAACTATGAATAATCAAAGACAAAGGTATTAAAAACAAAACAAAGTATTACATGCATACATATATGCAATAATTAGACAATTTCTAATTGAAATTTCTAAATGAAATTAAGAGGCCATGCCAGTTAGCATTGAGTTTTGAATAGAAATTCAAAAAATTTAATTTTTCTTGAAATCAGTGTTGATGGTTAATTTCTCTCACAATAAAACAAAAAAAATACAAAAATACTGATTTTAACCATAACTACACTGTCGTATCTAAGGACAAAAAAACCTTAGTTACCAGAATAGATTTTTTTACTTTCAAAACAGGCAAATATTGCTATAAAAAGAGTCTATATGCACATAGATGTTGTCAAAAGAGTGTTTGTGATTACTTATTCCTTAAAGAGGACTTAATTCTGAGCTCTTTCCTGACCAACTAAGTATGATTACATTTTTCGTTACGTTGCTATGGTGATGGGAAGAAGAGATACGATTTCAAACAAAATGGTTGAATTTGAACTATTTTTAAAAAGCATTTTCAAAGATGCTGTGCTACTACTTATAATCCCATATGTGTGAGTTTGTTAGTATTACATGTAGGTTAATTAAAGATTTAAAAAAAAATTGGTAGGCAATCAAAACATTGTTTTCATGGAGATTCAAAGATATCCAAATTTAGGCATTTATAGATGATTTCCTGTGAACAATTCATAGTATTATAAGTAATTTATCCTATAAGAAACAATGTCCAATATAACAGATTGGTGCATCTGGAATGAAAATGAGTCATAAAGTACCATGACTTTCTTTCACCTTCACCTTTGAGTTCAAGGTCAAGTTATGAATTCATCTTTTGCTTCATAATTTTTCAAGCTGCATGGTCTTTGAAATGGTAGATTCTTGCGTAATTTAATAGTATTTCACAGGTGGATGCATACTTTAAGACAGTTCAAGAAAAAAAAATTAGTGTTTTGTAGCCATGGAGATTCAAAAATAAGCAAATTTGGGTATTTTTAGATGATTTCTGTTATTTTTTTAGATCAATAAAAGTAATTTGACCTTTTAGAAACAATATACATGTATATTCTTATTCAACATGGGTTCAGCTGAAAAAGGTTTTGATTCATGCACTACTTTGACCTTCTCCTCACCTTGACCTTTAACCTCAAGGTCAAATTTTTCTATCATATATTCTATGTCTAATAATTTCTTAACTAAATCAACATGGTTCTTGATATTTTAAATCTTGTTCCGATTATTTCATACATTGATACAGAGTGAATACTGTTGGACAATTCAGGAAGAGAAATTCATGTTCTACTGATGACCTTGAGCAAGTGGCATGGTCAGTCACTTAATTGAGGTCAAATTAATGATTTTAAGTGTTATGGCCTGTTCTTGAAATACATGTACTAAGTATTTGAAACATGTGCAGAGTAATGCATCATGATGTACCTTTAGTCAACATTAAATATTGATGCTTCAACATCAATAATGATTAAAATACCCTTGATGTTTACTAAGATTTTCCTGCCCTGCAGTGTGCAGTACTGTGTAAGATTATGAAAACGACAACAAAGTTTTTTTTAACAGAAAAAAACCCATTAGGTACAGTTATGATTAATTCCCTTTTAAAAGTTACTCCTTTAATACACTGCTACATGTACTGAAAACACTCACAGGAAAATGCTATGAAAAATCCAATATATTTCCCCCTAGCTTTGCTTATGTCATTCATGCAAGACTGATCTACAGTTAATGTTTATTTAGACTAAAAATCATTTAACAAAAATTAATTTGACCACATTGTGTAAAAACATGCTTACATGTCAGGCTACAACCCCCCTCTCCCCTTCTTTGTTTTTCATTATGCCCTGCCATGAATATGGCCGGGGCATGTAGCATTTGACATGTCCGTCTTCCGTCTTTTCTTCCGTCACACTTTGCGTTTAGCTCATTTCAAAGCTCAGTTTCAAAAACACCATCCAAGATATTTTCATCAAACTTCATATGCTGATACATACAGATGTGAGCAATTCAACTGCATTTTGCATTTTGACCTTGTTCTTTCATTTGACCTTTACCTTATTTATTAATCAATTTGTGTTTAAATTAGCTTCACAAAAAACATTCATAATATTTTTTCAACTTCATATGCTGATACATACTGATGAGAGCTTTCCAACTGCATCAACATTTTTTGACATTGGCTTTTCCTTGACCTTGGCCTCACTTTTTTCTGAAATTAGCGTCAAACTTCATTATGCTCATACATACTGATGTAAGCATCACAGGATGAAAATTTACCATTCAGTGTACTGAATGGTAACTGAATGATTACTGAAATGTCCCTGAAAAGACCCTTTACCGTGACCTTATCATGATTATTCAGTTACCATTCAGTCGACTGAATGGCACATACATTTCAATGACCTTTCATTTATCATTCAGTTTTTTTTCTTATGAAATAATCGGTTTAATTTTTAACTCAAAAAAATTATTTCACTTTTTCCTGGTATAAAAGCATCAAATTCATCGTTATCTTTTAAATTCAGCATTAAAAAAATTGAAGAAAAAAATTTAATTCAAGAAATAAAATTAGTGCTCATCGCCAAAATTGAACCCTGATCTCCTGCACCAG